TTGGGGAACACCACTAGTTACCCCTATCCATTCTGAAAATTTACCATTTATTCCTACCCTTTGTTCCCGGTCTTTTAACCAGTTCTCAATCCATGAAAGGATCTTCCCTCTTATCCCATGACAACTTAATTTATGTAAGAGTCTTTGGTGAGGGACCTTGTCAAGGCTTTCTGGAAATCTAAGTACGCTATGTCCACTGGATCCCCCTTGTCCACATGTTTGTTGACCCCTTCAAAGAACTCTAATAGATTAGTAAGACATGATTTCCCTTTACAGAAACCATGTTGACTTTTGCCCAACAATTTATGTCCTTCTATGTGTCTGACAATTTTATTCTTTACTCTTGTTTCAACTAATTTGCCCAGTACTGATGTTAGACTTACTGGTCTGTAATTGCTGGGATCACTTCTAGAGCCCTTTTTAAATATCAGCGTTACATTAGCTATCTTCCAGTCATTGGGTACAGAAGCTGATTTAAAGGACAGGTTACAAACCATAGTTAATAGTTCCGCAATTTCACATTTGAGTTCTTTCAGAACTCTTGGGTGAATGCCATCTGGTCCCGGTGACTTGTTACTGTTACTGTTAAGTTTATCAGTTAATTCCAAAACCTCCTCTAGTGACACTTCAATCTGTGACAATTCCTCAGATTTGTCACCTACAAAGGACGGCTCAGGGTTGGGAATCTCCCTAACATCCTCAGCTGTGAAGACTGAAGCAAAGAATTCATTTAGTTTCTATTGGAATGAAAGGCAGTCAGGAGTGCCTGTCTTCATTTTCAGCTTCTCATTACAGGAAAGTCTATCAAAATCATGGCAGACAATGTAGCCTGCATGTTTTATATTAACAGGCAAGGCAGAGCAAGATCCGCCTCTCTGTGTGTCAAAGCAGTAAAGATATGGAATTGGTGCATAGTCCATCACATTCACATTTCAGCAATATACCTTCCCGGAGTGCAAAACTCCCCTGGCCAGTGTTCTCAGCTGGCACTTTTCCCAGGACTACAAATGGGAATTGGATCCATGAATACTAGATGATATATTTTGAACAAGTGGACCTCTTCGCCACTTCCACAAACAGGAAGTGCCATCTGTTCTGTTCAAGAGGGGATTGAGACCCCCATTTCCTGGGGGATGCCTTCCTTTTATCTTGGTTGAAGGGTCTGTATTACATGTTTCCCCCAATGCCTCTAATTTTAAGGGTGATGAACAAGATCAGGCAGGATAAAGCCAGGGTTATCCTAATAGGCGTAACATGGCCAAGACAAACATGGTACCCTTACTTGTTTAAATTGTCTCCTTGTCTGGCAATCAATCTTCTGTGCATCCCTTGTCTCCTCTACCAGGATGTCAGCCAAGTACTTCATCCCAACCTATACATTCTCAGTTTCCAGGTGTGGCTCCTCAGTGGTTTGCAGGGATAGAATCTACCTGTTCTGAAGAGGTACAGCAGGTATTTTTAAACAGCAGAAAAGAAGTTACCCATAATATTTACTTTCAGAAGTGGAAAAGATTTAACTATTAGTGTGAAAATCAGCAACTTGCACCTGAATCTTCTTCACTTTCACTTATTCTGGATTAGCTGCTACAACTGAATAAAACAGGTTTATCAAGTAGCTTAATCAAGGTTCATTTGGCTGTGATAACAGTTTTTCATTCTCTAGTGGAAGGGTTCTCAGTGTTTTCTCACCTTACAACTGTAAGATTCATTAGAGGACTGAAGAACTTCTTCCCTTAAGTAACGACTCCCACTTCAGTTTGGGTATGTCTACACTACAGGATTAATCCGAATTTAGATAATTCGAATTTGGGAAACAGGTTGTATAAATTCGATTGTGCGCGGCCACACTAAGCACCTTAATTCGGTTTTAAACCACATTAATTCGGTGGTGTGCGGCCACACTACCCCATTAACTTAAACACAGTAATTCGGTGGTGTGCGTCCACACTAACCCTAATTCGAATTAACAAAATCGATTTAGGCTCTACTCCGTTCGTCGAGGTGGAGTACAGAAATCGATTTAAAGGGCCCTTTAATTCGAATTAACTGGCTCTGTAGTGTGGACGGGTGAAGGGTTAATTCGGATTAAGGCAGCTAAATCCGAATTAAAGTCCTAGTGTAGACCAGGCCTTTGTTATCTTAATCTAGTTCTCAGAGGTCTCACAAGACCCCCATTTGAACCAATGGCAATCTGTTTCTTACCTAACCTGTCTGGGAAGATTGCCTTGTTAATAGCCATTACATCAGCTCTCAGAGTTAGAGAAATCAGGGTGTTGATAGCTGATCCTCCCTTACGGTATTCTTTAAGGACAGATTTCAGAGTAGCAGCCGTGTTAGTCTGTATCCGCACACACGTATATATATCTCCTCAATATATGTTTCACTCTATATGCATCCGAAGAAGTGGGTTGTAGCCCACGAAAGCTTATGCTCTAATAAATTTGTTAGTCTCTAAGGTGCCACAAGTACTCCTGTTCTTTTTTAAGGACAGAGTTTCCCTATGTCCACACCCTAAATTCCTACCTAAGGAGTCTCCTAGACTATTTATCTCCATTGTGGACAGATCTAAGGGATCCACTATTTCTACACAGAGACTATCAAGATGGATTTCAGAGTGTATTATCACTTATGTTTCCCACTGTGATGGTCTTCACTTGGTCAGGCCTTAGGCCCTTTGATATGCAGAGGGAGGGTTTGGTAGGGGAGCCTGGGCCTCCTACTCCATCAGGCTCTGTCCCAGGGCCCTGTGAAGGCAACAGGCAGGTCTAACACCCAGGAGCACCTTAAAGCTGCCCTCCCTGTGCCACTTCCTACCATCCCCTATTGTCCAAAGTTCACAATCTGTAACAGGAGGCTGTGAAGGGGGACAGCTGATCACTTGGCACCTCTGAACATCCGGGCATGGCATAGTAGTTCTCTCCCTCTTGGGGTGGTGGCTGCCTTCTCTCATGCCCTGGCCCTACAGCCATATCAGTTCCAAGTCTCTCCGCTACCGGGGTATTCCATAAACAAAACACAGGAGGCCAACACTTGATTAGTAGATGGGGCGGGGGAGGAATGCCTCCCTCTCTGGGCATAACAGAAGCAGGTCGTCTCTTCCATCAGGGAGGGACCTTCAGGCAGTTGTTGAGGGGAGAGCTTCTGTCTTCCTTCAGCACTTTTCTCACAAGCTGCAAGTTAGATATCCTTTCTCTTCCGTGGTCTGACCACAAGTGAGCTTTTCTGCTCCCTTTTAACTCCTCCTCCAGTTTGTGCATCTCTTGCCAGTGTGACAGGGCAGGGCAGCTGAGCCCAGAGCAGCCCTTAACTCCTTGTTGCCCACTGCAGGGTTTGTATACCCCATCACACCCTCATTCTATAAAGAAAGGGGAACATATGACAGTCCAGCTAGTCAAGAGAGTTTATAAATGTCACCCAGGAAACATACACTTGTAAAAATCTTCAAAGAATTCTGAAAGATAAGATGCTTTACTTGGCGTATATTATTTCCTTGCTAAGCCCAGTGTTTGCCTCAGAGGGTTACTTTTAATGTTGGGTTTTATTATTTATATTATTATTATTGTTGTTGTTGTTATTACTAAATTTCATAACCAGGCTAAATTAATATGTTGCTGATAATGGATTTTAAATAGCTTGGGAAGATTTCACTGTCAAGGAAATAAGCCATTATTGATTTATAGAATAACTGCCCACATTACAAGTGAGATACCAGTGAGTTAACTTCTTGTGGTTCTCTTCTATATGTTACAATATGTGTAATTATCTCCTCTTGTTATTAGTGTATCTGCATAAGCAGATAACATGAAACCAAAAGGGTGAGGAGTCAAAATATCTTTGTCTAAACTAAGTCTAAACTATCTTTGTCTAAACTGAATCACTTAGAAAAATGAAGTCATGTAGCACAAGTTAACTTATTATGTATTGTTCTTATTTAATATTTGTATCACAATAGCACAGAGAGGCCCCATTCAGGATCAGTATCTCATTGTGCTAGGCAGTGTACAAACATGTATTAAGACAATCAGATATATACAATATGTACATTTGCACATCTGATCATCATTCTAGCTATAATAAACTGGCTGATCTCTCATAAGCATTGCAGCAGAGTTGAGTCTTGAGGAGAGATTTGAAGGTGGAAAGGGTATGGATCAAATCAAGGAGTTAACCTTTAGAATACTGCATTTTCTACACTGCCAGCTAAAATAAAGTTTAGGAGGATGTTGTGCATGCATGTGCATGTAACATGGTATATTTGATCCCCAAAGTGTTAATAAGCAATAATTTTTTTTTACATTCATTAGCTTATTTTAATAAAAACAAATAGCAATTTAAAAAACAAAGATTCAAAAATGTCTTTCAACAATAATAATAGAATAGAGCATTTGATGTGTGCATTTTAAATACAGAAAGAGAAGGGGGGGAAATCATTGCAGAAGCCAAAATTGATTAATTCTAAAATGAGGTTTTAATATTTTCAACAAATTAAATGAGGTGACTGGTTGGCCATTATGATGCTTTGCCAGGGCTGCTCTATGTATTTTGCCGCCCCAGGCACGGTAGTCAAGCGGCTTTCAGCGGCATGCCTGGGGGATGTCCGCTGGTAACGCGGATTCGGCGGCATGCCTGAGGGAAGTCCACCGGTCCCGCGCCTTTGGCGTACCCACCGCCGAATTGCCGCTGAAGGCAGCGAAGAACCAGTGGTCTTCCCGCAGGCATGCCGCCGAAGGCAGCCTGACTGCCGCCCTCACGGCAACCGGCAGGCTGCCCCCCGCAGCTTGTCGCCCCAGGCACGCGCTTGGTGCACTGGTGCCTGGAGCCGCCCCTGTGCTTTACAATATTTAAAATAAATAACACTGCACAGCAGTCATTTGTGAATGATTGTGCATGGGAAAATGAAAAATAGAAATACCTTTTCATGAGAAAAAAGTTAACATATTTTTGGTTGGAAAAATTATGAATTTAAGAGTTGTGGTGTGTGTGTGTCTTTTTAATTACAGAATACATAAAAACAGGAAATGCAACCATTTTGGAGGAACCCACACAGGAATGCCTAGTGCCAGAACATCAGTCTTGCATTTTATCCCCAGAAGTTTCTCCATCACAAACGACTAAAAGTAAATATTTCTGTTTTATGACTGCAGAACCTATGCCAAAGATTATCTCTCTAATAATATATTTTATACTACTAATAAGAGTTTATTTTATACTAATATACATTAGAGAGAGAGGAAATAAAGGAAGATATTGACATTAAGAAGCTTTATTCCTCAGGGAGACTAATGAGCTTGCCTCCACACTCCAATAAATAGAATAGCTGATTTTCTAATATTTGCAGTATATACCATAATGAGTGTTATGCAGGAAGTAAAGAGCTACTAATGGACCATAATACATTATAATGAGTCTGTCTTATCTCTTTTTAATTTGTTTAATGTTAAGGTACAACTTTCACACCAAAGCAAAATAGAAACATGCTCTCTGTGCTACAGGGCTCTGCTGGCACTTCCCCTTTAAGTGCCCAACACAGTTTATTCTTTCTCTCCCATACAGCTAGCTTCCCCTTTATTCCCCCCCTCCCCGTAAAGATCACTTTTATATGATGCACTCCCATTCTCCATGCAGAGAACTTTTACACCATGACTTTCTTGTACCATAACCATTACTGTGGTCCCTGGGTGCTTTCTCCTCAGGTTACACACTCACACACACTGCACAGGACCAGAGTTTAATACTTCCCTTCCCCCTCATCCTCTTCCACAGTTAAGAGCTCTCCTGTTATGATGCCCTTCCACTCTCTGTTTAGAAATATCCCTGCTGTAGATGCTCCCCATAACTTTGGTAGAAACAACCCTAAGCCTGGCTCTTGTCACTCCAAAAAGAAACATTCCCCTAAGTGAAATTCCAAAGTACTTTCTAGCAATAAAGCTTCATCTTTTCACTTTTACTGCTTTCTTCCCCTACAAGAAGGATCTAGGCCCACCAGAAAACTCAACTTACTCCTGGGGGCCAGATTCTGATATTCATAGTCATGTTGAGTAGTACCTTACTCCACAAGTAGCCCCTTTGACTTCAGTGGGATCATTCCTAGAGTAAGGTTCTATTTAACAAAAGAGAATATTAGAATGTGGCCTGAAATTAATTAATACAAATTTAAGCATAAAGTTTCCTTTCTTGTTAATAGTAAGATCTTGGTCTTACATTTTTTGTTTCCACATTCAGGATGTGAATAATGTAAGAAAAAATGATTAATTTTGTTTGTTTAGTTTTCTTTAACTGGACTTTTGAAAAAAGGCACACAGACATGGTTTAAAAATGTTTTTAATAGTGATCTCTCTAATTTTCATCTTATTTTCTTTATTACAACATGCATTTTTATTAACTTCTGTTTTCTAATCGGAAAGCGAAATATGAAGGATTAAAAATCCTGATTCTGAACCATGTTCTACCCATAATTTTTGTGCAAAAAATCCCATTGTAGTTAATGGGAGTTTTGAATATAGAAAGTCCATGGATTTTCAAACCCAAATGGGAGAATTTAACATACAGCTCCTGTATGTACTCATGCTGAATAGCACCTTACTCTGGAAGCGGTCGTACTGATTTCAATGGACTACTTTCAGAATAAAGTGCTATTCAATGTGAGTAAGAATATTAGAATCTGGCTGGCCCTAATTAATTCATGGTCCCCATTGCCTCATCAGCTGTGGACCTCGCATCACTAAAGGCAGCCATTAACAAAGGAATAACATCTTCAAAGTAAAGAATTTAATAACCAGACCCTTAATCCTGCAATACCCTGAAACTCACCAAATTTGGATTTTTGGTAGACTGCTAGAGGGAGCAGGTTCTAGTATTATTTGTTTTTCACTGAAAACATCTTGTCACAAATCCCAGAGAGTTTGATCCCAGGGACAGACAGATGGAGTCTTATAGAACCTAGCCAACACCTTAATTGCCCACAGATATAAACAGGTAACCAATGCAAAGCATTTTGTGTGGTTGTAGCAGGTTCCCCATTCTAGAGATGAATGTTGGCGTTCTTCACTAGCTGCAGTTTTTCAGGTTTAGAGGGCAGAGAGAAGGTGGAGTCATGGCCAATGCCCCATCCACAGTGGCACACAGTGTACAGGGGAAAGCAGAGGATGAGCTAAGATGTGAAAAAATTATCTAGGTTATATTTGCCTCTCAGTGCTCATCCGATGGCTCCATTACACTATCCTTTATTCAGGGCTGTCTGTCAGAGTCAAGCTATAGACTATAAGGCATGCAATGTAAGGAATAGTCTTAGTACCATTATATCTACCCCAAGATTCAAAAGTTTTGCATTACTTTTTAGCAACAAAAATCCCCCTTAAATTCTAATTATTCTGACTAATTCTATCTATTTTTTAAAAGGTGAAGCTGTGACTGGAGAGTTATCAAAGCTCTTAGATGAAATCAAACTGTGCCAAGAAAAAGAATATTCTTTTGAAGAGCTGTGTCATACAATATCAGATCACTATCTGGACAATTTTAGTAAGATATCAGAAGAAGAATTTATGAGCAATGGAATCCAAACTAAACTTATAGTAAGTAAGATGGGATATCCAATTAACTTTTTCAATTATATTTTACATTACTTATTGTACATTTAAGAATTAAAAAAAGGAAGTAATATAAAGAAGACTGATATAAGAAACCTAAGTATCTGTAAAAGTATATAGTGTGTGTGTCTTACAAATATAGGACCAGATTATGAACTCCTTACTGGTGAGCAGTTACTCACACAATGACTTCAATGGCACCGTTTTGGTGAGAAACTGCTCGCCAATGTGAGTAGAGGGTTTATAGTCTAGCTCATAGGCTGCATCCTGCAAATAGTTACAACAGAGCATAGAGCTTTCTATTGTGAGGAATACCTCTGAAGTCAGTCAACTATTATACCTAGTACTAAGTGCTCACAGGACCATGCACAAAGTACTCAGTCCTGTAAGATGCTGAGCATCTTCCATCCTCATATAGGATTAAAAATATATGGGTATGCAAAGGAATTAATAGCATTAAAGGAATAGGATCTGGTACTGTACCTCTTTATTGACATTAATAGCCATTGACTTCAATGATTTTAGATAGGAATTTGACTTAAATAGGACTATTCCTGTGAATAATGGTTCCCAGGATTAGTTTCTTATTGTACAGTAACAAGATTGCTTCCTTTAAACCTGATTCTGCCACAGTTATTTATGTTGAATTGTACCCTACTCATTGAGTAAAATCAGTGGGACTACTCATGGAATAAGGTGGCTGAACTAGGCCATTTGTGTTCTCAAAGGAAACAAAGTCAGCTGCCACCTTCAGATAATACAGTTCTAATATAAGAATTTTAACAGCTATGGTAAATACAGAGGTAAATACAAACAAAATATACTGAAACAGATTTTCTTTCACTTTACTAGGCAGTGGTATCCCTTTGATGGGCTAATTTGATAAACAATATCATACCTTGGAGGCAGGAGGCTTTGGAGGATGTAGTGGCTGTTCTATAATACTGCCCTGCTTCAGTTTCCTGTGGGAAAAAGTCTCTTTACCCTAATGGGCTGCTGTTCTCTCTTCAGCTGTCAGCTCCATTTCAGATTCATAACAATATAAGAATGGCCATACTGGGTCTGACCAATGGTCCATCTAGCTCAGTTTCCTGGCTTCCAAGAGTTGCAAGTGCCAGATGCTTCAGAGGGAATGAATAGAACAGGGCAGTTATCAGGTGATCCATCCCCTGTTGTCCACTCCCAGCTTCTGGCAGTCAGAGGTTTAGGAACACTCAGAGCATGAGGTTGTGCCCCTGACCATCTTGACTAATAGCCATTGATGGACCTAGCCTCCATAGACCTACCCAATCCTTTTTTGAGCCCAGTTATACTTTTGGCTTTCACAACATCCCCTGCAATGTGTTCCACAGGTTGACTGTGCATTGTGTGAAGACATACTTCCTTATGTTTGTTTTAAACCTATTAATTTCATTGGGTGACCCTGGTTCTTGTGTTATGTGAAGGAGTAAATACATTTTCCTATTCACTTTCTCCACACCCTTCATGATTGTAGAGACCGCTATCATATTACCCCTTAGTTCTTCTCTTTTCTAAAATGAACAGTCCTAGTCTTTGTAATTTCTCCTCATCTGGAAGTGTTCTATACCCATAATCAATTTTGTTGCCCTTCTCTGTATTTTTCCAATTCTAATATATATTCTTTAAGATGGGGCGACCAGAACTGCACACAGTATTCAAGGTGTGGGCATACAATGGATTTATATAGTGGCATTATGATATTTTCTGACCTAGTATCTATCCCTTTCCTAATGGTTCCTAATACTCTGTTAGCTTTTTTGACTGCTGCTGCACATTGAGCAGATGCTTCCAGGAAACTATCCACAATGACTCCAGTATCTCTTTCTTGACTGGTAACAGCTAATTTAGACCTCATCATTTTGTATGCATAGTTGGGATTATGTTTTCCAATGTGCATTACTTTTCATTTATCAACATTTAATTTTATCTGCCATTTTGTTGCTTAGTCACTCCGTTTTGTGAGATCCCTTTGTAACTCTTTGCAGTCAGCTTTGAACATAACTATCTTGAGTAATTTAGTATAATCTGCAAATGTTGCCATCTCACTGTTAGCCCTCTTTTCCAGATCATTTATGAATATGTTGAACAGCACAGGTCCCAGTATAGGTTCTTGGGGTACCCTGCTATTTACCACTCTCCAATGTGGAAATCGACCACTTATTTCTACCCTTGGTTTCCTGTTTTTTAACCAGTTACTGATCCATGAGAAGACCTTCCCTCTTGTCTAATGACTGCTTACTTTGCTTAAGAGCCTTTGGCGTAGGACATTGTCAAAGATTTTCTGAAAGTCCAAGTACATTATATCAACTGGATCGCCCTTGTGCACATGTGCACATGTGCACATGCTTGCTGACGTCCTCAAAGAATTTTAATAATTGGTGAGGCATGATTTCCCTTTACAAAAGACATATTGATTTACCCCAACAAATCATGTTCATCTATGTTTCTGATAATTCTGTTCTTTACTATAGTTTCAACCAATTTTCCTGGTACTGAAATTAGGCTTACTCACCTGTAATTGCCAGGTAATTGTAATTCATAAGGTGTCAGTCCACTCAGTCTCTCCCTGGCTGCCAATCAGTCTGGGAGTACTTTGTCCCCAGTGTTCATATAGATTCATGGATTCCAAGGTCAGAAGGGACCATTGTGATCATCTAGTCTGACCTCCAGTATAACACAGGCCGGAGAACTTCCCCCAAATAATTTCTAGAGCAGATTTTCTAGAAAATCATCCAATCTTGATTTAAAAATTGTCAGTAATGGAGACTCTACTGTGGTAAATTGTTCCAATGGTTAATTACTCTCACCATTAAAAACCTATGCCTTATTTCCTGTTTGAATTTGTCTAGCTTCAACTTCCAGGCATTGGATCATGTTATACCTTTCTCTGTTAGATTGAAGTGCCCATTTTTAAATATTTGTTCCCCGTGTAGGTACTTACAGACTGTAATCAAGTCACTCCTTACCCTTTGTTAAGCTAAATAGATTGAGCTTTTTAAGTCTGTGAGTATAAGGCATGTTTTCTACGCCTTTAATCATTCTTGCGGCTCTTCTCTGAATCCTCTCCAATTTATCAACATCCTTCCTGAATTGTGGGCACCAGTATTTCAGCAGCAGTCACACCAGTCCCAAATACAGAGGTAAAATAACCTCTTTATTCCTACTTGATGGTCGGATTAGCCCTTCTGGCCACAGTATCACAGTGGGAGCTCATGTTCAGCTGATTGTCCACCATGACCCCCAAGTCTTTTTCAGAGTCACCTCTTCCTAGGATAGAATCCCCCATCCTGTAAGTATGGCCTACATTCTTTGTTCCTAGATGCATACATTTAACCACATCAAAATGCATATTGTTTGCTTGCTCCCAGTTTACCAAATGATCCAGATCGCTTTGAATCAGTGACCTCCCCTCTTTATTATTTACCACTCACCCAATTTTTGTGTCAGTTGCAAACTTTATCAGCTGATTTTATGTTTTCTTCCAGGTCATTGGTAAAACGTTAAATAGCATAGGACCAAGAACTGATCCCTGTGGGATGCCACTGGAAACAAGCACCCTCAATGATGATTCCCTGTTTACAACTACATTTGAGATCTATCAGCTAGTCAGTTTTTAATCCATGTAATGTGTGCAGTGTTAATTTTATATCGTTCTAGCTTTTTTAACAAAATATCATGCTGTACAAAGTGAAATGCCTTAGAGAAGTCCACGTATATTACATCACCACTGTTACCTTTATTAACTAAATTTGTACTATTATCAGAAAAAGATATCAAGTTAGTTATATAGGATGAGTCCCCAATTATCATTCACATTTTTTCTGAGTAAATTCTTCCACACAGCTTATTTGGCTCATAATTGTTTTCAGCTTTGTGAAATTGGCCCTCTTAAAGCACCATATATAATTCAAATTTGATCAAGTCATGATCACTTGTACCTAAGTTACCATTAATTTTCTGTGATAATTTCTTCTTTATCTGTTAGAACAAAGTCTAATATAGAATTCCTTTGTGTTGGTTTCAACACATTTTGAGTTAGGAAGTTGTCATTTATTATGTTTAGAAATTCCAATGATATTTTAGTACTGGCATCATGAGACCTCCAGCATATGTCACTCAAATTTAATTCCCCCATGATCACACAGCTTTTTATCCTATATGTTGTAGATAGATGTGCAAGGAAGCAGTCACTCTGTTCCCTAGTGAGATTTGGTGTTCTGTAGTAGACACCAACTAGTAATCTTCTGCTTTATTTATTAAGACATTGCTCCAAAAGCATTCAAGATAATTTTCTTCAGAGCTATAAATGATTTGGAAACAAGTAATGCCACTCCTCCTTCCCTTTTGCCCACTCAATCCTTCCTAATTAGGTCATAACCATTGATTTTAACAGTCCAGTTGTGCAGATCATCCCACCAGGTTTCAGTAATCCCAACTAGATAGAATTTATATTCATAAATGAGCAATTCCAATTCCTCTTGTTTGTTACCCAGGCTCCTAGAATTGGTGTATAGGCAATTAAGGAATTTCTTCTCTTCATGTCCTTTGGTTCCTTGATTAATTTTGTGCTTAATTAAAGACTGTATCACAATGCATACACACAAGAAGGCCAAATTAAAGTTACAGCTTAATTCTAGATATTCCCAACTTTGAGTGCTTGATTTTGCACCCTTAACTTTCTTTTAATGCAGTTTTTTGGATTTAATATTAGTTAAAAGTAACTATTAAAACAACTGATTTGTTAATCTAAATTCATCTACCACAAAAATATCCAGAGTACAAGTTGTTGCTTGCAATTCCTTGCTAGCACTCTTCACCTAGTTAATGGCCTACTTGAGCCTTTATTTGAAACCCTGGCTGTGGGATGTTGTTCAAATGAGCCTTTCCAGGAGGAATTGCAAAAAAGAATTGTAACTCCAAGGCACCCTTCTGAGTCACAGTTCCCCCTGAGCTCCTGTGTTGGC